GTTGCTTAATTATATAAATATAAAGTTCTTAATTATTCTTTTTTTTTAATTCTGCTTTGCTATTTTTTTCTGTTATGTGTTTAATTTATATTTTTGCTATTATTATTTTATAATCACTTTTTGTGATTTTTTCTATTTTCTTAATATTTGTTTTTTGTAAACCCAAAGCCAGTTTTATTGATACTCATATATAATCAATTCATATTGTTGTTTCTTTACTTGACTATATGTATTTTTTTGATTTATTAAATGCATGTCTTTGTATATATTTATAAAGTCTTGTTTTCTTATCTAATTAAAGATTAGTAGTTTTTTAAAACTTGCTAGTTATGAATATTGTTTATCTAATATATTGTTTGCTATATGATTAAAGTTACTTATAATTACAACTTGTATTTGTCTTTCTGTCTAACAACTGTTTTTACAATCTTCTGTTAAATGTTTTTTTTTTATAATTATATTATTTGATGATATATAAATGTTTATCACTATTAGCTTTAATTGTTTGAAGTATAGTATAATCTCTATCATGTATTTACTTATCTTCTTAACTGCATCTACATGTTTTTTTATTGTTCTTCTATCAAAATTTTTATATCTGATCCTTTTTTCTTGTCTTCTGTTATATTTGTCTAGTATCTTACATATTTTTTATTTGTAATATACATTAAAAATTACATTTTTCTTTTTATAAGATTTGTTTTTATAATTTCTAATATTACAATTTTTTCTTTTTTGTCTAGCTAAGCAGATTTTCTAATTTTCAATCTTTGGTTTTAAGTTTATTAATATTGTGAAATGCTATTTTTATTTATTTTTTCTTCTTTTCACTCTTCTTTTAATAGTCTTCATTTTGTTATTATATTATCTATTTTTTTTTACTCTTGTTATACTTTTCTTCTTTTTAATAAGAAGTTTTTATTTTTCTTCTTTTTTTAAACACCTCTCTTTTTCTTTGCAAGAAATTCTTAATCTTCTTGTCTATGCTCATTAGTTTAACTATAGTATTATTAGAAGCAGTTAGTTAGATTTTTTTCTGTTTTCTTTTTTATCTTGTTTTGTTGTATTTTTAATTTCTTTAGTCTTTCAAGTATTTTTTTTAACAGGTCTTGGTTTTATGTCTGTAGTGCTTCTTTTTCTATTAAATATATGTGGTGCTTTTTTTATTTTTATTGTTTTCTTTTGTATCTTCTCTTATTTTACTTCTTTTATTCTTATACTTTTTAGTATTTGAATTTTTATCTATATTATGTATTTATTATAGCAAGCTTTTTCTTTATTGTGCTTCTTTTTTTTTGTTTTCTCTTGCCAAAAAAGTAAGTAATTGTTAAATCTTATTGGTTTGGTTTGTACTGCTTCTATCTTTTTCTTCAATATAAAAGTAATTATTGCAGATCTTTTTTGATTACTATTTCTGTTTATTAGTATATATACTAACTTTGCATCCCTCTTTCTTAAATATTATATAATAAAACTTCTAATACATTTCTAGAAAGCTTCAATAGTTTTAATGTAAACTAACTATATTGGTCTTGTAGGCTGTAGTCTTTAGTACTCTTGAACATTCTTGCTAGTTTATTAATACCAATTAGCAAAGCTCATGTAATGTTTTTTTCTTTTAGGCTTTTAGTATATATTATTACTAAAGCTTTATACTTGGACCTCTTAATTTAGTCTATTTTAATATCTTTAATGCTTTTATACATATATTTTACTTCTTTTGTATTAATATTTATTGGCAAACTCCAAATTATTAAAAAGTTATTTGCCTCTAAATCTTCTTCTAACTAAAATTTTTCTGTATTTCTTTTTATTTACTTTTGCTTAACTTGTATTTTTATATTTTTTTTTTCTATATTTAATATTTGACTTTTCTATTTTGTTGTTCTTTTTTAGTTTTATTTGTCTTTCATTTTCTTTTTTTCTTTTTTTAATATTGTGTTTTTCTTACTGTTCTGTATTTTGGTTTTTGTTTTTGGTCTTTTTTAAAATAAGTTTAAGTCATTCACTTTCTTTTTTCTTAATTCTGTTTATTACTATATTTCTATTATACTTATAGTCAAAATCTACTTTTATTTTTATTTTTATTTTTAAATATTTTCTTAATTGTTTAATATAATAATTTTTTCTTAGAATTCATTAAGCATACTTTATTCTTTCTTTTTTGGTTTTTGCTAGCAAAGCATATATTGGCATATTTGTCTTGAAAGACTTGTTTTATTACATATTTAGTTTTCTAAAGACCATCAGCTATGTTTTATTGTAGCTGTAGAAAACACTGTTTTATTTTTTTTATTGTTTGACTCTTCTTTTTATTCTATTATTTTTATATTCATAACTTTTATATTTTCTGTAATTTCATATAATTTGCTATTTAATAATATTTTGAAATCTTTTTTTGCTTCTTCTTGCTTTCTAATTTTATTTCTCTGCTTTCTGTTAGAATTTTCTCTTCAAATTTAAGATTACCAATATTTTAACTTATTTAACATTATAATACAGTAATGCTAAGATCTTTTATTTGTTCTTCTAGTATTTTTAATCCTTGCTTTATTTCTTTAAAGTTATTTTTTTTTTAATATTGCTTTTTATTGATGATATTTTTTATTTTATTAATTTTAACTGAATTTCTTATTATATTAATTTTTTTTTTGGATGAAATATAGAATAGTGGGTACTAATACATAATAAAATTACAAATATGATAATATAAAAATGTTGTACAAAAGAGGATGGTGATTCTAATGTAGTGGTTAGGTTGTCATCCTCCAAGTGGCAGGTCTAAGGTTCAAATCTTACTTATGACAAAATTTGTAAATTATATCTGCATTATAGTAACTGTCTTCTGTTGATCAGTTGACCTCATGTGGCTATTACCCAGGTACACCAAATCAGGTTCCCTTGATATTGGAAGCTTAGGCATCTATATGAAGTGTAATATTACATGTACATAGAGGAATGTTTACTGATATTGCATAAGACTTTGATGCAAACTCATAATAAGACTACCAGGTGTAGAAGACTAAGGAACTAAGGTGACAGAAACCCACTTGAAAATTCATGAGTAAAAAGGTAGCATGAACTTTCAACAGTACCATCAGACCAGTTGAAGCCTATAAAACACCTTTATAGAAATCAAAAATTAAAACTAGATGACAAATATATGTAGATGAGCATATAACCAACCAGGCTATTGGGTCTACTAGAGAAAAAGAATACAGTAGTATATCATACCAGGCTATCTGGATTGGTAGTCTGGAATGAAACCAACAGTTCTGAGCTGTAGCTAGTAGAAGATGATGGAGAAGATGCTAGAAAAGATGAGTACTGAGATTCTAGTAAACTTTACAAAGGTAGAAATAGTGTAATATAGCAGTTAAACAAGTAACCTCTGTAACTGCAAATGTTAGGTAACTATAGCATGTTGCATAAAACTAGGTCTATATGTGTAGGACATAAAGGCTCTAGTAAGTTTCCTATTGAGGATAAAGTAGTTCTAAGAGTAACAATAAGCATCAGGAACTTGGATGGGCCTTGAGATGTTCTTATGATACACAAAAGACTGCATATGCAGAGGGTTTAAATAGGCAAGACCCCTAGTTGGCTTGCAGATATAGCAACTAGTGTAGAACTTATATAGTAATGTATAAGTGGACTACTTAAATTAGACATCAAAAGTGCATATGTGGCTAGTTGTAACCTCCAATGTAAGGTAAGCCCTTGGTGGCATACTGTATCCTAATATATTTGAATAAAAACATCGCATCTCCCAAGATAGAGACTTTAACTATAAAAAAAAAAAAATGTTGTACAAATTATTTATTTTCATAATATGCAGTAGAATATAATGCATTAATAAATGATTAGTATAAATGATCTTTATTGACTCAGCACTAGATATATTCTAATAAATGATTTTTAATTAACTCTTTGTTTCTGTTATATTATGCAATCGATAATTTAATACCATTCCACAAACCTGAGTAAAAGTATTTATTAATAAATATTTAATTAATTATAAATTAATTATTTGTTTTACAAACCTTCTATCATATTTGTAATAATACCAGTTTCTGGATTAGTGAAATGTTTTGAATAATTAACAGTTTTGTATATAACTCCTTGTCCTTTAATATTCAAATAACCTTTCCAACAATCGATATGAACTATTGAACCTTTTTTAATATAAATTTTAATTATTTCTTTAATTGTTTCACTATTTCTATTTTTGATTATTTTTAAAAAGCATTTTTTTTTTAGTTTTTTCAACACTACCAATTACCTATACACTATTAACTCTTCTTTCTCTATGGTATTTTCTTCTTTCAAATTTAGATTCATCAATTTCAATAATGATTCCTTTATCACCAATTTCAACAAAATAATCTTTTAACGTATTAATTATTAATTTTCTTAGAAAATTTAGATAATCAGTTATAGTATTTGATAATAATTTTGTCATTTGTATTATAGATTTAGTTGAAAATTTATTTAACTAAAAATATGAAATCATCATAACATTATTACATTTAAAATGGCTATTAGCAAAAAATGAATCTTTGAATATAGATATAGATGTACAACATCTTTTATTAATACATCTATAATATTTTTTATTTCTAAATAGTTTAGAATTACATTTATCACATTTTATTTTTAAATTTATCAAGAAATTTAATATTATCTTCAAAAGAATCTATATAGTAATTAGCTGATAACATTATATCATAATATTTTTTCTATAATTATCATTATATTTAATAAATTTATTAAAATTATTATTTTGAGATTTGCTAATAAAATATAATAAATTAATTATTAAATAATTGATATATATTTATAATTAAATTTAATTTACTATTTCTATTTGTTATAACAAACACTTAATTTATCATTGATATTTAATAAAATAAAAAGAATACAAGATCTAAAATATATATGTATATATATTATAATGTTTATAAATTAATATATAAATTATTAATATAATATTTCTATACTTATTTAATATTTCTTTTGAATTAATTTCAGTTATATAATTTTTTTCATAATTATTTTTTCTAAGTTTAGCTAAACCTTGATTTGGATCTTTTTCTTCTTTATCATTAAATTTTTCAAATCCATTTTCTAAAAAATAATTTATAATTTTTTCTTGATTAGAACAAAAAAAATTTACTATCTCAATAAGCATTATTAAAAAAATAATATATAATAAATATTAAACATAAATTCAAATCATTATATAACTAAAATATTTATTAAAATGGAATTTGATAACTGATTGATAATTATAAATATTATTTTTTGTAATACAATTATTAATCAGTTATCAAATTCTGAATTTATTTAAAAATATAAAATATCTACAAGTTTTTATAAATTTATAATATATAAATATATATTTATTTCAATATTTTATTTTAAAAACAATTTACTACGTATTAATTAAAAATATTTATTTGATTAAACTATATATAATTTAATTAATAAAATTATAATTATTATTTATTTATTATATTAACTCTAAATATAAATTTATCTGATTTTTATTTATTTAAATTGTTAATAAAGTATTATTAAATTTTTATTAGTAATTATTAAATAATTATTTATACACACTATGATACTATATAATTTAAATATATTAATTGTTAGTATTATCAATTAAAATATCTATATAAATAAATAATTATTATAAAGATAAAAAAATATATACTATATATCGTATTACTGTTCTAAAAAGTTTTTTTTTAATTTTATTTCATTTTTATATTTTTTTTATTTATGTTATTAGTTTAAAATAGTTAAAATTGTTATTATATAATATAAATAAAAAATTTTTTATATTACCTATTATTTATAAAAATAGAGTATATAAATATTTATGCAGTAATACTAATTATTACCTGTATAAATAATTAGAATAAAGCAAATGATTAGTATAATATGATGATAATAAAAAATCTGTAAGATATGATAATTTGATGTATTAGTATCTACAAAGTGCATTTGAACCCTTTTTTTTAATATAATTTTTCTTTATGTATACTTGTATTGTATTTAAATAAGCTTGTATTGCAGTTTATTGTTCTAAACTTTTCTGCTCACTTGTTAATTATTCTTTTTTTAAGCTAGCTTATTTCTGATATTCTTAAGGTTTTTAATAATTGGCTATATATCAGCAAGTTATATAATATGATGTGTTTTGGATTATAAATTGCTAAGTCTTTTGCAATACATTCTATATTGCTTAAGTCTTTTGTTAGTATTTTGAGAACTTAATCTAATATTTTATAATCAACATATTTATAATTTTATCTTTTATTTTTTTAATATAATATATAACATCTAAGCTATATGTTTTAGTTATTAGTTTATATCTTTGTATTTTGAATCAGGTTTTTTTTTTATATGCTCTGTGTTTATTTTATTAAACTACTTTAAAACATGTGTTTACTTGTTTGCTTTAGTTGTTTTGTTTTTTATCTTTTTTGTATAACAAAAGTAATTTGTATAACAAGATCACATCTGTTTTCCAAAATTTTTTAAAAACAAATTTTTTTGTTAAAAATTTATATTTTTATTTTTGTGATATGTTATTTATAACTTTTATTTATATCTTTGTTTCTAGTTATATATAACTTTTAACATTCTATTTTTTTTGTTATAGTTTAAAGTATTGTTTCTTAATGTGTTTCTGTGTTGTTTTTTTTTTTTTTTTTTTTTGAGTTAAAGTCCCTGTCTCTGGGAGTTGATGTTTTTATTCATGTATTTGAACATGAGTGCCTCCAGGGGCTCCCTTACATAGGAGGTTACAACTAGCCACACGTGCACTTTTGGTGCCTAATTTAAGTAGTCTGCCTATACATTACTATACAGGTTCTACACTAGGTGCCATACCTGCA